CAAATGGATTACACACTTTTGAAAATAACATTTTTGCTTTGTTTAATAATTTTCATTTTAATAACTTATATTCTATAGCAAAAAAATTTAAGCTTATATAAAAATATATTTGTTTATTAAACATGACATTTTTTTCGTTTAATTTTAACAAAATGAAGTATCATTTGAATTTTTAAATTAATGTTATCATTATTTATATGCTAAGCATTTTAATTTCAATTTCTCATAGTGCACAATTTTAGGTTTGTTTGTTTATTTGTGAGTGTGTGTGTGTGTTGGTATATATACATTTATGAGCATGAATATTTTATATGTATTCTAAATTAAGTACATGGTGTTTTTGTTTATTTTAAGAACATTGTCTGTATATATAGGTAGGTATGTTTTTTTTTTTTTGTATTTATGTGTGTATTAGTTGTGTTGTAGTTTTTCTGTTAATTAATTTTATTGATGCATTTAATTAATATATTTTTTTATAGTTATTATATTATAAACTTATATTAAATATTATATTATTAAATTTAAACGGAATTATTTGTTTTAAGTAAATTTTTATTTAAATATATTTATATGTATATTTAAGCATAAAAAATAATTATCTATATTATTATTGTTGTTGTTTTCTTATTTATCATTTTTGATAGTGTTTATGAGTTGTGTGTGTGTTTGTGTTGTTTTGGGTTTTTATTATATAATTGATATATTTTTTAAAAAATCTTCACTAACATAAAGGCGTTTTCTTTCCTTTTCAAGGAAATACTTTATTGTATTATATTACAATTATGAAGCATTATAATTATTATCGATATTTTCTATGAGACATTCCATGTGGTTGAATAGAACAAAAGGAAATTATTTTTATTATTATTATTTTTTTCGAAGACTTGATTGCTTTGCTAGTTGTATATTTAGATTTCTACAAAGCTATAATTTTATTATTTATTTTAATTTTGAAAAGCTCGTGTGGTTATATTTTTTCAAATGTCAAAATTTATAACAATTGTGAACATTTTGAAATGTTTTTAGTGAGCCTGGGCGACCTTTGGATTATCATAGAATCTTTAAAGCCTAAAACAACTATTAACATGTTGCTAAGGATGCTAAAAATATTAATTTGGGAAGTCATAAAAGTTTGTAAAAATTAAATTGAATTATTTAAAGAAGTCTTTATAGACGATAAAATCTTATTTCGGTTAATATGGTGGATATGGATTATTGATAAAATGTAGAAGTGAGGCTACAGACTTCATAGGCATACTGCTTGTCTTCATAAACCTGATGAAGGGGGCCATTATTTGTGATACAAATTGAGTCGATGACTATATTTAAAGATGATCGGAATCCGAGATAGTCCTTTTTGAAGGAACCCCTTATAGTGCTGGGGAGTGAGTTCACTGGTGCATATTCACTGGCTAGAGGCAAGAGTCTAGATAGAAAAAAAATGGGAGTATTTTATGAGAACACAGGTTCATGAAGACTTTACTGGCTTGTTACAGAACGGTTGTTCCATAAGCCGAGTTAAAAAAGATTTATCTACGACCATTGTTTATTTGGGAAACCCTTCAAAGTTACTAGTCATCAATGTAATGCACTGCCATTTGCCAGCCGGTTGGAAATCGTAAAAATTTTAAATCGAGAATGTGGAGGATCCCCTTTATTGTTTGGCAATGGGATCTATAAAAGTTTAATTCAAATAATTCGTGCCCAACTTGTAGCTCACCGAATAACTTAAAAAAAATTGTAAACCTTTCACAAATGCCCTTTCAACAGGAATTAGAATCAATATCAGTAAATAAGACTGATTGATATTTTGTTCCCTTTCTAAACAGATAAGATGACTATAATATAGATATTTTATATAAGTGGTTTTTAGAAAAAAAAAATACTTTACAAGATATAATCATTTCAGACCCTCTTAATCAATTATAAGATCCGTCAATTTTAAAAGATGGTAGTATAAACCTGTGTATGGGTCTGTTCAATAATTTTTAATGGTTTACTATTGCTTTGTTATGTCTTTAGAACATAGAAAATAAAAATAAACTGAGAACAATGTGATCATGTGGCTCCCCAGTTTCAATTTTTCTACAAATACAAGGGAAAAATTATGAATGTCTTTGGATCTGAAAGGAATTAAAAAATTCATGTTTCAATTAAATTTTTCAAACACACAAGATACTAACAATTATAAATCTATAATTTAGTATTTTAAATATAAATTAAAATTTAGAGAACATCACAATTGTTATAAATAGTTTGACATTTGGTAAATAAAAAAAACAATAGCATAACAACAAAAAAATATTTATATGCAAAATATAGCAAATTAATTATACATGTTATTACATTGATTTTGAATTATTTATTTATTTTAGTATGTTCCTTCACCTTTCTTACTTAAATTCTATACAGAAAATGAATGTTTATTATTATTGTTTTAAATAAAAACTTTTTTGTTGCAAACTATGAGTATGTTTTGTAGAGTATATTTTTTTAGTATGTCTTCTTCTGTTTTCAAGTTCTTGTTGTTTTTGTTTGTAATATTTATGGATATTGTATGTGTCCTATCTACATATATGAGCATATTTGTAATAAGAGAATAGCAATGGATTCTATTAATATTTTATCAAACATTCTTCTTTTTTTGTTAATTTCTTCAAGGGACTGTTTTGCAGAATTATATGTTTGTTACACACAATACACACATCATAGCATGTTATATACGCATACATAAATATGCAAGGATAATAATAGTGTCATCTATCGCAACAAATATTCCAGTTATGTCCCCCACAGAGTATACATTCAACAGTGTGTGTATGTGCCGCTTTTGTTGTCTGGCTTTGAAGGTTCTTCTTATTCTTGACATCATGATGATGCATGTGTCAATAGGTAGTTGGTATGTGTATATCGTTTTTTTATTAAGTTCGTTCGTTTTTCTTTTTTTTCATTTCTTATTTTTGGAATGCTCTTAATTTGAAATAAACTTTATGTTATATTGGATGTGTGTGTATGTGTTTGATTTTTTTATTATATATTTATTTTTAAGAAATATATATATTTATAGAATTCATTGTATTACACCACAAATTGGGGGATTTTTATGTTCTTGGCAATAATTTGGGGTTCATTCTTTTTTTGCAAACACAATAAACAAAGTGACCGTAGTATATGTGATTGTTACACATATGATTCTTGAAAATAAAATTGATATATCTTAAATGCATCAAAAAACAATGTTTAGTGTGGATATAATATGTAAGTGACTGTGTATAAATCTAATGGTTTTTTTCTTGGGTGTCAGAAAGGTGTCTATTTGTCAGAATGCCAGGAATAACATAGAAATTAAATAAACTATGGAACAGGTTACCTTCGAAATTCTCAGGTAAAGGTAAAGGAGAATTTCAAAAACCAGACAGCTTTCTTATAAGCGAAGATAATAAAATGATTTTTTTAGGGACGACAACGTGAGAGCTTTTATAAAAAAAATCTGAAGGTAAACTTTGTAGACGAGTATGAGAAGTAATTTCGTATACTGGAGGATTCCTGTATTGACATAATTACAAGAGAAGACGCGACAAGAAAGTCATGAGAGCTAAACGTTAGTTTGTTATTTAGTGTTGAGAGAATGATAACTAGAATATTTTGTATCCTATTAAACCAAAATTTTTGTATATACTCTAAAATTTATTACCTTATCACCCAAGGAGTTTTTTTCCGGAATTTTATTCAATTTTCTTTTTGCTCCACAGTGTTTTATTTTAAGTTAGGGATATGCAAGTTTTATAGTTCCAGATGACTATTTGCTGTTACTTGTTCCGCTTCTACTGAATTAATAGTTTTACTTGCACAACGAATTTCAAATTTAAAAACCATTAAATTCAGTACTGGACTTAATACAAAAATTAAAAAATATTAATAAAAAAATTAATAATATGAACTAAAAATAATAATAAAAAAATACTTTCAAATAATAATTATAATGGGCATGCAAATAATAAGTTAGTGGCATAAAAAAATTCTTAAAATTAATAAAAACAAAAATGAATTATGGAAATAAGAATATAAAATCATATAAATAAAAATTATTTAAAATAAAATAATAAAATCATATTACTAAAATTAAAAAAAAAAAAAAAAAAATACTCAAATGATAAACAAAAATAAAGAAAAACTAAAATATCCACTGATAGTTTTGAAAATTATTTCCAGTAGACGATTTCTTGGAAGAAGTAATAAACAATTACATTCATCTCTGTGGTACATTTCAAAATATATACCTACAAAGCAAAGGTTGTTGTATAAAATAGAAACGGTTATGAGCATTTAGTAAACTAAGGTTCACATATTTTTGCAGGAAGATTGCTTGATTGATTGATCAGTCAATAAATTAAAAGACGACAAGAAAATCGAATTCAAGATTTTAATTTACAGCTAATTGGTATAATACGTTCATCTTGGTAAATCGTAGACATTTGTTGTTATTTTTTCATTTAACAACGAAACAAGGTCTCCATTATTCGAAAACTGTTTTTCGTTTTGGAAAACTCCTTTGTCTATGTGTCTCAAAATTTCGTCTGCGCAACCCTTGTGTATATTTCTTTTAATAGCCATAGTTATTTTCAAATATGACTCCTAAAAGTATGCTATAATATACACATTATATGGCTGCTTTAATTTTGGGGGGAACCTCACTGATTTGACAGTACTGTGTGTGATTTGTCTGTCTGAACCTGGTCTAGACCATTCCTCCTTATATTTGCTGTATGGTAACTTTTTTTGTTGTCCGTCTCTCTTCCCTTTCAGATAACCTATATTTTTTTCTGAAATCTCCGCGTTTTTTCTGTTTCTGTTGCTACATAAAAAATATTAATATTTTCCCTACATATTTTACCCATACATACACATATTCTTCGTGTATCTATCTATGTGTACGTACACTTTGTGAGACCATATCCTTTTTAATTACATTTATATGCTAATTGCCCTTGCTATTTAAATTAAACCGCAAAATCACCTTCACCCCAGGACATTTTATAATCGTCGATATTAAATAAATCAAAGATATCTGTCGATGAGCTACCGCCGAATGTATCATTGGCATTTGTTGTTGTATCACTATGCGATGATAGCATGTCGCCGCAACTACTATTACCCAAAATGCTGTTGTTGTTGTTGAGACTGCCATTACTATGGGAACTGTTGTTGGTCATATTGGAATTTGAGTTGCAAATAGACATTTGTTCATGACACTGCTGCTGTTGTTGTTGTTGTTGTGCATTTGCTGCCGATGTTAAAGATGCCTGTAGACCACAAGCATTTCCCATTGCTGTTTGTTGTGAAGATGTGTGCTGTTGTTGTAGGGACCTTGATGAGTGTGTCGATGATGCATGCGGTGGCGTAACACTGCCATTCATACCAAATGGATGTGGTGGGGTGTTAATATTTGAATCCGGCGATAAGGCAGAGAAATTAAAACCACTTAATGGATTATCGAAATCATCACAATCCATGGGTGTGGCATCCGTTGAGCTGTGATTGTGGAGCTGCATGCCATCATTATTGTTCATATTATGTAGGTGTTGCTGTTGATGATGGTGTGGCTCATGATGCGGCTGCTGCTGTTCCACCGAATGATGATGCTGTTCGGCCAAATGTCTTACGAATGTATCGGCATCAAAGTCGTCGAGAACATTTTGTACATCCCGGTCGGTTGTTGATGACGACATGGATTGGTGTGCATTCGGATTCCCCTCCAAATTTAACGAATTATGACTTTGCATTATCTCCTCCATGGATGGCTGCAGACTGGGATTCATGTCACGCCGTAAACTATTTAAAATGTTTAATTTCTCATTGGAATGCTGTTGATGATGATGGTCGCCCGGCTGGACGACTGATGATTGTGCATGCTGTTGGTGTTGCTGTTGTTGAGAGTGTTGCATAGTTGTTGCGTTGTTGGCATTTTTAAGGGACGCATCCTGATAGTTGGTGTTTGTATCCTCCCCAATATCCATTTCCAATTGCTGCGACATCAATTCCAATAATTCAAATTCATCGAAATGATTCAGTTTGGCCTCCTCCGGAGTGTGCAGGGAAGCTGCACTGGATCGTTGATCATCCAAACACGTTTTACTTAGCATATCATGATGTGTGGGCGATGACTGATGATGTGGACCTTGATTGTTAACTACACTTGTCGATGGCGTAGCTGTAGTTTGAGGATTGTGGTGATGGTGGTGGTGTTGCTGCTGCTGTAAATGATGATGATTCTCCAAGAAAATATCCAAGGTCTTGGCTACACTTTCAGCATCAATATGACAATCTGGCTGTATGGGTGAGGTCATATCAATATTTTCAATGAAATTCATATTATTATTGTGATTATTGTTGTTGTTGCTGCTGCTGATGATGTTTGCTGAATTTGTATTATCTTCTGGGCCACTCGAACAGGACTTGTTGGTGAAAAAATCAAAAATAGAATTTGTCTCATTTGCATTTGTATTGTTATTGTGGCCATTGCCTTTATTAATGTTGTCGTTGTTGTTGCTACTGCTGTTGTTTTGTTGTGTATCAGCACAATCCATTGCCATTGGTTTCATTGGCGTATCTTGTGTCAGGTCTTGACCTTTGTCGTTATTACCACCAGCCCCAATCACCATTGGTTCCTCCTGCATGATATGTTTAGCCTGTTTTACGCCATCAATGTTAATAGTTTCCTGTTTGATATTATCTTTATTGTCATCGACCACTCCTGTTGCTCCTCCTCGGGCAGGGAACATGAGATTTTCATTCAATTCATGCATTAAGACATTTGTTCCACCTGGTGTCATGGGCATATTGGATGATGTTGTTGATGTTGGAGTTATAGGTTCCACCAAAGAATTATCGGAATTTCCACCACCACCAGCGCTTTGTTTGAATAAAATGTCCAAAACATCGGCAAGTTTTTCCGATTTGATAGGAGCCTTTAAGGGCTTCTGATCGCCTTGATTTGTGGTCAAAGGGCTTAGGGTTATTTGATTAATGGTCGTTTGGTTGGGCTCTTCTTTGATTTTCGTTAAAGAGGGATTTATTGAATTCTGTTGCTGTTGTTGTTGCTGCTGATGTTGTTGTTTAGCCTTCAGCTGTTTGGTTGCTTCTTCATATTGTGGCGGTGGTGGAGGAGGTGGGGGTGGTGGTTGTAGATTTTGTGGCTTTATATCTAAATGAATGATTTGTTGTTGTTGCTGCTGTGGCTGTTGCATATGCGAAGCACCAGACTGTTGTTGTTGTAGCTGCTGCTGTTGTTGTTGACGTATTTGCATTTTCTGCAATTGCTGCTGAGTTATAATTGGTTTGGTTTCTAAACCAGAAGCATTAATTGTACCAATATTACCCGTATTTATGGGGAACACAATACTTGGCAATGAATTAGTACGCTGATGACCATTTATTAACTTCTTTGTGGCCGGTGAGGCATTTGCCAAACTTATATTACCAATGGTATGGGCGGTCATGTGCTGATCATTAAGACCCACCAAAAATATCGTCTGATTTCCCTCGTTCCATACCAATCCCAAATTGTTATGGGTCTTTGTCAATGGCAACTGATTGGTGGCGACAATTGTTGCAGTAGTTCCACCAGCGGAACCAGATGTTATGGGCGCCTTGATGAGATGCGCAGTGTTTTGTTGATTTTTAATTTTCATGTTTGTTGACGATTTGTTGTTATCGTCAACCATTTTTGTGGGCACAGCCGTCGTTATGGTCGTCGATCCGGTTGGAATGAGTACAGTTTGTGTCTTTTGTGTTAGGAGACGTAATTGTGCCTGGGCTTGAGCCTGGGCCAGCGCCTGTGCTTGAACTTGTGCCAAAACCTGAGCTTGTGCTTGGGCCTGGGCTTGAGCCTGGGCGGCGGCAGCTGCTGCCGCTGCAGCCTGTTTTTGTTTTTGAATCTTTGCCTCCAGTTGTTGCTTCACCACCATTTTTTGCGTCATTACGGGAGTAGTCACTGTGGAACTGTTGTTGTTATTATTCGATGTGTTTGTTGTTGACTTCTTATTGGTCGCACCTGGTGCTGGCATGGCCACAGGCTTGATGGAAGCCGGGGTGGTTTTTACAGTGACCTTGGCCGGTACAACACTTTCTTTTAAATGTGGTTGTATCACGGCCAAGGTTTGTGGCGTTGTCATGGTTTGTGTTGGTGGTTTGGACGTGGTCGTGGTAATCAAAGTTATTTGCTGTGTGGGCAGAGTGTTTACCACCTGAGCTGAGACAGTTTGTTGCTGGAACGTTGGGGGTTGTAATAGTTTTGGCTGAACAATATGTTGTTGTTGCTGCTGCTGCTGTTGTTGCTGTTGTTTTTGTCGTATTTCCAACAATTCCTGCTGAGATCTTTGCAATTGTCTCTGTAGCTCATCAATTTTACGCTGCTGTTCCCTTAAGAGCTCTTCATTGCTTAAAATAATTGTAGCCGTTTGTGGCTGAGGCTGTACAATGGTTTGTAGGGCCACAGGCTTTGGAGAATCCACCTGTTGTACCACATCCATTTGCTCTTGTTCCAATTGGGGCTTTTCCACCAAAGTGGAGTTTGTGGGTTTTGGTGAATTATTTTCAGATTGATCCATTGCATCTCCAGCGGGGGCATTTGATGAAGATTGAACATTCGTATTACCATCAGCAGTAGATCCTGTTACCATAGGTGTGGTTGTTTGTTGGCTATCTAATGGCTCCAGGGGTAAATATGGCTTCAAACGCTCTATCAATTGCGGCTTAGGTCCAGAAACCGGTAAGTTACGCTTCTTCAAATGCATTTTCAAATCGCAAACTTTCATTTTCTCCAATTTTGTGAAATCCGTTATCGAAGAGGTGGACGACGACTCAGCGTTACTTGTTGCTGGACTGGCTGGTGGAATGGAAGAACCCACTGAAGGTGCTGGTGAGGGTAAAGGTGGTGGTCTGGGTGCTGTCACAATGGAAATTGTATTTGAGGACTGTATTGGCACTTCAACTTGCATGGGAGTGGGTGTATTATGGCCACTGTTGGTTACCGCTGTCGCAGTGCTGGTTCCCCCTGACGCTGAGGTTAGCGTCGTCATTGGTCCAGTTGTATTTGTGGTTGCCATTGATTTGTTGACATTATATGTTACCGTTGTGGCGGTATTACTGTTGGCCGTAGTACTGGTTGTTGGTATTATGGCCTGATTTTTATTCAGGGTTTCCAGGAATTTCAACAAGCAATTTTGTTGTTCCAACATCAACTGATATGAGGTCTCTTCTGTACTGCTACTGCTGGTGGTTTCAGAGGTTAGTTTATGAGCCGCACTGGGTGGCCCTTTATATTCGTGGAATTTTATGGTTCTGGCTTTGGAAACAGGTTTTGATTTGGATTTTTTACGATTTTTATCTTTTCCGGGAGCATCAGATTTGGCAATCTGCAAGGCTGGCGATTGTGCCAATGGCCTTGGTGTTAAACTCAAAGGTGGTGAAGCAATGGAGGACAGGGGACTTAGTGTTGATGTAGATGAGGCCAATGATCCCGGCGATGAAACCATGGGTATATAATGATTGTTGTTGGCAGGTGCCCCTGTCACCGATTGACATAGCTCCTCGAATAAATTTGATGTTTCCTGTTTGACCGTAATACCGGCATTGTTATTATTTGGCAAGGGTGGTGGAGGAGGCGGTGGTATGTAATTGAGTTTATTACCAATTTTATTCTGCACTAATGTGGAAGGTGCTGCCGATGTGACCGTGACTTGGCCACCACTTGTGGGTATGGTTAGGGCAACCGTAACAATTCCTGCCGAGGCTGCAGCTGCCTGTAAAACATCACTGCCACCCGTAGCTTGGCTAGTTGTGGCAGCAACTGCGTTAACTGCACCCTCGATACCCTCCAAACGTGGTGGAGTTTGTCGGGTATCACTCTCCGATGATTGTGAATCATCATCATAGGTAACATAGCTGTTGGGATGTTGTGGTCGTGTTAGTAAACCTTCACTGGTGGCCTTAAATGTCACCAAACCCTCTTTGACGATTTTCTCAATCGGCTTTTCGGTATGTAAGATGTTCTTTTTTATCAATTCCAAGGGTCCGGGGCGATGTTGAATTTGTGAATTTAACTGATCGGCCAGACGGGCTTTTTTCAGCATGCGCTGCTTTTCCGCCAGGCTGGGATCAATATGGCATTCATCCTCTTCGAGAATGTGGCGGCGCTCGAGATCTTCGCGATTGGGTCTCTGTTGGATTTTGGCCTTTAGTAAGTCACTGGTTTTGGCACGCTCCAATTGTTTACATTGTTCATGGATAGCAGGGGATGTTTTCAAAGCTGCAAAATACACACACAAACAGAAACAAACAAAGAATAATGAATACGAGTAGGAAGGAATTATTATAAACAAAAGTAAAATATTTAAATGGTATGCAGATTTAAAATGAGAGAGAAAAAAACGAGAGGGACAATTCAACGAAAATTTTATTTCTTTTTTCGTGTAACGCCACAAAGTATGCTTTGTTTTTAGCATAACACAACTTCCCACTATGCCCATCACAAAAAGTGCTTGAAATATATTTGCTTTGGCGAAAAACGTTTGAATTGGGAAGGAGGGGCACACAAAGCATAACTCTTAAGCTCTTTGAGCACGAAACGAAAATCGTCGTGAATTTTTATGTTTACACAAAGATTGCTTTTCAAATTCACCGCGGAATAAAAGTTGTATTATTTCGCGTTACCCCCTCAGAAAAAAGTTTTGTTTTTCTAAAACCCTCGACATATCAAATGGTTGGGGGATTTCGAATAGAGAAGAACACAGTAGGTTAATGTTTTGATTATATATATATATATATATATTACCCTCCGTCATAATTAAATTTGTCATTCGGTTTGCAAAGATATGGCGGAGATCCCAGTATAAATACTGATGGTCAGTGGGAAATTATATATATATATATATATAGTTTTAGCCATCGCCATAGTTTCGCCATCGAAATATTTGAGATAGATTTTTTAAGATATAGTGCTACTATTTCTAGGATATTTGATTTTGCAGCCTTCATTCAACCGTATAGCCTCATTTACCAAATTTTAAGGTTTTAGGTATATTTTGATCCCAAGAAGCTGTAATTTGGTATACCTTTTTTTAAATTCGTCCATATTATGATGTTTTGACAGGGTCTCATTTTAGGTATTTTAATGGAATATGTATATTGCCCACTTTCCACCCACTGTACACAAAATATTTACGGTACATGAACCCAATTTTCATGTAGATTACTTTTGTTTCTCTTTACTTGACATTGACATGTCAATCGTTGATTATTAAACTGGTGGCTTTTCTTTCGTTGATGACGGCGGTGTTTTTGGCAGCCTGTTGTTGTAACCGCCGAATCGTCATCGTTTACATTAGTGCTAAACCAAATTCAATGGATTGTTTGATTTTGTTGTGGTATGGGTTTTTTACTATGGTAATTTTCTCGATTTAACTGTGTGTTTGCATAAATTTGACACAGACACATTCACACACATTTTTTTATTTATATTATATTGCTTTGCAAATTTTGCATAATGGAAAGATAAGGGTGGCTTTTATTTTCAAATCTGAATATGTTTTTTTTTTTGTTCTTTTGAAACCCACAAGTAATATTTACTAAATATGGGTCTTTTCATTGAGGGAAGGAAAGAGGTGGAGTTTTTATACCCTACACAACTTATTGTCAGGGTATTATAGCTTTGTGAGCCCCAAAAGTTTGTAACGCCGCGAAATATTGGTCCTAGACCCACCTTTAAGTATACCGATCGTCATATCTCGACTAGCTGAGTCGATCTAGACATGTGTGTCCGTCCGTCCGTCTGTCCATTATAATTTGTAAACACGATACAGGCCACAGATATGGACCAATCTTCACGGCCAATGAAGACCTCTATTGTTTTTGGGAAAGATTGGTTAATATATAGGGGATGAAATGGACCAAATACTAAATTTTTGTCGGTTTTTCTGGTCGCTCCAGAGGCCGCAATAATGGCCCGAACATCATAAAATTTTGCATTGAGAAGGGGATCGGGCTATAGAATAAGCATGCCTGTTTTGATAAAGATCGGTCAATATTTAGCGGGTCAAATTGACCCTGACTTGTGTGAAAAATTACAAAAATTGTATTCTATAGCATATATATTTACCACTGAAGGACATAGACCTGAGAAGTTGATATTATATCCAAGAGGAGTGGTTGACCTTTAAATTAAGACCAATTATATTTTTGTATGTGCTCGGATGTGGGAGTTACACCTAAATATTTACAGGTATCTTCGTATATTATTTATTAACTCATTATCACTCTAGAGAGCGGAACTATAGCGCTGATCGCTTTGAAATGTTCCATGAGGTTCCAGTTATGGTCAAGGACAACGCCTATAATTTTTGGTGATGATCAAATAATAATTTTGGAATGAAGTGGACCGAAAACTTAATTTTTTGTGTTATGAAAGCCGAACATCACAACACAACCCACGGTGAAGGGAATCTGGACAATAGCTGTACTGAATACTCGTAATATTCGGAAAATATGTAAGTGTGAGGAGGAGGTGCTGTTTACCTCTAATCGGGCAAGAGGGTGCAAATATCACGAAATATTGCCCAGGCTCGGAATAAACATCCGCAGAAAATTTGAGTTCCGTGGTAGTTGTGTAGGGTATCATATGGTCGGCCCGTCCGACTATACTGCTCCGCTCACTGGTTTTATTTTACTATTGTTAGTGCTGTGGGAATACTTATGTGGAATTAAAGGGAACTCTATGTAAAAATATTGCGGGTGTAAATGAGGTAGCCATATTAAAGCCAAGATAACTGAATAAACTCTCAAACCTCTGAGAGGATGGCCCTGGGCCATTTTTTCGAGCTTTATAGTCCGTTTATTTCTTCAATACGTAATTTTCATTTGCGCCTCAAATGTTCCAAAATCATGCATCTAAAATACTACAAAATACACGAAGGCTTTGCACATCTTGTCGATTATAGACGGGTCTGTATAAGGCAATATATTTTTCTGTTCTTCAACACCCATTTGTTCTCGTTCCATAGAAGTCGAAATTTGTGGTTCTTCTTCTATGAATTTCCTATTTGATTTGATTATGTTACCAGAGGTGTGGTTGATTTGTATTTGAGGATTGTATTGGCACTTCAACTTGCATGGGAGTGGGTGTATTATGGTCACTGTTTGCAACCACCGCTGTGGCAGTGGCGGTTCTTCGTGTTGCTGGGGAGATTAATGTGATTCTGTTCATTTTTTCCATGACTTAGTTTAATGTTTTTTTTTTTTAATTTCAATTTAGGGAGGTAGAACTCATACTGAGCTCATCATAACATTATGAGCACCTATACCACATCTGATGCGGTCGACTTGTATATAGTCATTGCTTTCAGACTCCTTTCTAGAGTTAAAGATGCTGAATCTATGCGAAGCGACCACGTCCAAACATCCCTAAGGGGACCCCCGATTCTCGATTTCCAAAATTACATTTTTTTATTTTTATTTAATGTGTATTTATTACTTCTCAAGAATGTCTCATTAAAATTTCAAATGAAAATCTCAACAAATGTTGAAGATATAGCCGATTTATTGTTTCGACAATAAATTTCTCAAATTTTAAGCGTTTTTCTGGAAATAGTGTTTTTACGATTGGCGGACACGATAACTCAAAAACAATCGGTTCCAAAATTTAACACTCTGATCCTACATAGCTATCGTGTGAACTATATACAATCGGTAAACAATTTCCCTATTTTCCACCTTGGTTTTTTGGGCGAAAATAGGCGATTCTCGAAAAAAAATAATTTTTCTTGTTCCGCCATTTTGTTCGTTTTTCAGCGATGCCAATAATACTATTTCATACCCGAGCCTAATATGTGGTCCTTCTAGTTACGTTGGAATTTTGAGATGCGGATGTTCCAATGATCTCCCACACATCAAAATATTCACCGGATGGATATCCAATAATTTGTATATATTTTATTGATCAGAATAAAAGTCTATGCCATGTTAATTTAGGATATATGTTAATGAAAATGGAATAAATCGATTCAAGGTTTGGTATACACCGTGTATATCGGTACCCCCAAAATATTTGGTAAGACCATAATTTGATATTTATACCCTACACAACAATGTTGTCAGGGTATTATAGCTTTGTACAGCCCCAAGAGTTTGTAACGCGGCGAAATATTGGTCCTAGACCCACCTTTAAGTATACCGATCGTCATATCCCGACCTAGACATGTGTCGATTTAGACATGTGTGACCGTCCGTCCGTCTGTCCATTTTAACTTGTAAATACGATGCAGGCCACAGTTATGCACCAATCTTCACGAAATTTTGCACGTGGGATGGGTTCTGGCCAATGAAGACCCCTATTATTTTTGAAAAGATCGGCTAATATTTAGGGGATGAAATGGACCAAAAACTTTATTTTTGTCTGATTTTCTGGTCGCTCCAGAGGCCGCAATTATGGTCTGAACATCGCGAAATTTTACATCGGGTCAAAGAATAAGCATACATGTTTTGATAAAGATCGATTAATATTTAGCGGGTCAAATGAACCCTGACTTTTGTGTTTTTTTAATAAACCAGTACCACACTAGAGGGCGGAAATATGGAGCTGATCGCTTTAAAATTTTCCTTGAGGATCCAGGTATGGTCAAGGACAACGCCTATAATTTTCAATGTGTTTTTTTTTTCGAGTCAATATCACAACACAACCCACGAAAATCACAACACAACCCACGGTGAAGGGAATCTGGACAAGTAATTAGAAGGGCTGTACTGAATATTGGTCCAATAATTTATATATATGTATGTTATTGATCAGAATAAAAGTCTATGTCGATTTAGCCATGTGGGATATATGTTAATGAAAATGGAATGGAAATTGAAAGTTAGAGTTCCGTGGTAGTAGTGTCGGGTATCATATGGTCGGCCCCAAAATATTTGGCAAGGCCATAATTTGGTATTTTAGATTATAATTGGGTATCAAATAGTCATGCTTAAAATTATCAATATTTATCCATATTTTAGGATAGACCACATATAACGGTACCCCAAAAATTTCGGTATTATGCCAAGTTGGCTGTATTTTTGATTCTTATTAGATAGAACATCTCCATATAAGGATATCCCCTATTATACGGAAATTTGGGTACGTTTTTTAACAGAGCTTACTCTAATTTGATATTTTGTGTTTTCAATGGTTGTCTAATATTCCTAACAAAAATTTATCTTGGCATAACCCCCCCACAAAAGTTTCTATCGAATTTTTAATCGTGGCCTTTTTTTGTAGTTTTCCGTAATCTAAACAAAATAAAGGGTTTACTAATTCTATATGGAATATCCCATATGTTAACTATGCTTCTGATGGATATCCAAAATTTGACATATTATTTATGTTTGTGTGTGTGTGAAAAATGTGAAAAATGTGACATTTTGTATATTTTTCGTCATGTTATTGCCACCAAGAAGGAATATACGACATCCAACAGACACGAAAAGCTTCACCTAAGATATGATGTACTGTTATGTTCTCTCTTATTTTCTTTAATATTTCCAATAAGATGGATCATATATTGCAAAAGAAGAGCAAAACAAGAACACCAACAAAAAATACCTCAAAATATTGACACATTCCTTTCTTTCGTGTAGTTATTTTGTATTGCAAATGAGAGTATTTGGTGGCGGCGACATAGTAACAACCCTTCTCAAAAATACAAACTAAGAACTTGAACACGGCTAAAGCCTTTGTCTGTGTTGGTGGGTGGCATTGACAAAATGGATGTCATCCAAAGAAGGAAAAACAAACCAAAAAATGAAACGAATTTAATTAAATTCACCAAGTTTCCGTTATCCATTGATTTCCTCAAATATTCCCGCATCATCAATCTTCAAAGGAAGATTGGATATTGGGAGGGCCTTTTGTGTAAAAGTTGTCATATTACAATTTGCTGTACACATAATTTATACAAATATATTATCGGCGGATTTTTTTTTTTTTTTTTTTTTTTTTTTTTTAAATTGACATTTTATCCATTTTGGGGGTAATGTCGCCGAGTTCAGAGTTTTATTACTTTTAAAAGTGTGAAATTTAAGGATATACTTAACATTTGATGAATATATAGACATTTTTAAATAATATGATAGCAGCTTCTATCGCATGTAACTGTAAAATTAAAAATCATAAATATCATTTAAATATATTCCTGTATCTGAAATATTATTTCAAGACCCGTTTTAGATTTGTGGAATTTAATTTTTAATTTTCCCCCTAATAATTGAAAAGTGGAATTTTAAAAATAAAAATAAAAAAAAAATAAATACAATATTTGAATGCTACTTACGTGGTATAATGCCTTGCTCCACCAGCTGTGAGTGTGGTCTTCTCACCATCAGCTTCACTTTTAGTGCTGCAACGATAAAAATTGAGAAATGAAAAAATTAGACAACGACCAAATAAAGAGACACATACACACATTTAATGAGTTTATTTGGATGTGTAGAAAATGGTGGGTATTAATAATTGATGTGGACACTTTAGAGGTGGAACATAGAGGTGAGGGGAGTAGACAGACAGACAGACAGGCAGAAGGTAATTTAATTTCATTTTAACTGTCATTTGTTTCGCAAAGATAATTTTATTTCATTTTTTTTTTTTTGGTATTGTGTGGTAAAGTTGAGTTTTGTTGTTGTGGTTTAAACCAACAAACTTCACAGCATGATCATAAAATGTTGCACATATTCTCCTAAGCATGACATTAAGTTTTGGAGACTTGTGGTTTTGTTTAAAGTTCCATCACAAATTATCTACAAAGGCTCATAATAAAAACTGAGATGGAAATTAAATTACGCCTTGGATAGTCATTGAAAAAAATATTCTTTAAAAAATCCACGCCTTGGATAGTCATTGAAAAAAATATTCTTTAAAAAATCCACGCCTTGGATAGTCATTGAAAAAAATATTCTTTAAAAAATCCACGCCTTGGATAGTCATTGAAAAAAATATTCTTTAAAAAATCCACGCCTTGGATAGTCATTGAAAAAAAATATTCTTTAAAAAATCCAAATCCAAATCTTTAAAAAATAAAAATCCAAATTGAAAAAAATATTCTTTAAAAATCCACGCCTTGGATAGTCATTGAAAAAAATTTATAGTCATTGAAAAAAATATTCTTTAAAAATTCCACGCCTTGGATAGTCATTGAAAAAAATATTATTTAAAAAATCCACGCCTTGGATAGTCATTGAAAAAAATATTATTTAAAAAATCCACGCCTTGGATAGTCATTGAAAAAAATATTATTTAAAAAATCCACGCCTTGGATAGTCATTGAAAAAAATATTATTTAAAAAATCCACGCCTTGGATAGTCATTGAAAAAAATATTATTTAAAAAATCCACGCCTTGGATAGTCATTGAAAAAAATATTATTTAAAAAATCCACGCCTTGGATAGTCATTGAAAAAAATATTATTTAAAAAATCCACGCCTTGGATAGTCATTGAAAAAAATATTATTTAAAAAATCCACGCCTTGGATAGTCATTGAAAAAAATATTATTTAAAAAATCCACGCCTTGGATAGTCATTGAAAAAAATATTATTTAAAAAATCCACGCCTTGGATAGTCATTGAAAAAATATTCTTTAAAAAATCCACGCCTTGGATAGTCATTGAAAAAAAAATATTCTTTAAAAAATCCACGCCTTGGATAGTCATTGAAAAAAATATTCTTTAAAAAATCCACGCCTTGGATAGTCATTGAAAAAAATATTCTTTAAAAAATCCACGCCTTGGATAGTCATTGAAAAAAATATTCTTTAAAAAATCCACGCCTTAGATAGTCATTGAAAAAAATATTCTCTGAAAAATCCCTTCGGGATTTCTAAAAAGATTTTCCATTCCATCTCTGAAAGACCCGTTGATTCGTCATTAGAAGAACATCTTATCCTCTATTATGAAATTCCCCTGAATTTCTGCTGAAGATAATCTACATGCCACGGAACCATTATTTCGATGTGCTACATTTTTACCATGAAATGATCATAAGGATGAGAGTACTGGCATATCACCCTCCCCGCATGCTTCTTGATGCAGCAAGAATTTAATTAACACTTTCGCAAACAGCATGCTGTGTTCTACAAACAAAGTTATAAGAACAACATGTATGTTTGTATGTATGTATATGTATGGTCATATAATGATTCACACGTGTATTTCTCCTTTCATAGGTTGGCCCTAACAACAAGGTATACTTGTATACAACATATATTTGTGGTGAGGAGAACATACACTTACACATACATCAACCACCAGTCAGTTTCTGTTGTTATATTCACTTTTTGGGTAGATTCGATGTAAGGGGTGACGTATGCTATTTTATTCGTTCCTTGCAATATTCTTCATACGCCCCTTATGCTGTGGTACATAAAATATTCATCATACGCCTAAATGGCCGTGTAACGATGAGTATTTTATTTCAATTAAAAGTTTTTCGTTTCGCCTGTTTCCTGTTACTCTGCTTTCATGCTTCTTCAACTCTATAATTAACATTATTGGCCACAATAATGGTCATATAACAACAACAACAGCAACAGAATCATAACTGTTGAGAAATACAAAAAACAATAAAATCATAATAATTACAGAGAACTGCTTCTCTGGCTCGGTTGTCATTAATACTCTTCTGCTGTCTTTAGTAGAAATAAAGCGGAGAGATATGTGTTTTGGGGCAGTTTTTTTTTCGTCATAAGGACAAGGATGTAAAGAAAAAACACTTTATTCCGAATGATGTATATTTCAGTCGGTAGCGTAGGCAGCAGTATTCATATTAAAAACTTTTATTTAATTTTATATTAAATAAGCTATGATTAAAAAAAAAATAAAACGAAAATCGAATTTTTCGCCAGCGAAATAACACATCAACCTGTTTCTTAAGTTATTTAATTTTATTATTATTGAATTATTATTAACCAAAATATTAACTAATTAACCCCCATTTAAATGTAATACTCAACTTTGTATTCTTCGCAATTATTGTAAACAATATTAAAAGCAAACCAGTGAGCGGAGCAGTATAGTCGGACGGGGCCGACCATATAATACCCTACACAACTTCCACGAAAATCCAACTTTGCGTTATTTGCACCCTCTTGAAACCTGACTAAAGGTCAACATATATTACTAATATTCACACAAAAGTCAGGGTCCATTTGACCCGCTAAATATTGACCGCTCTTTATCAAAAGAGGCATGCTTATTCTTTGGCCTGATCCACTTCTCCACGCAAAAATACGCGGTGTTTGAGCCATATTTGCGGTCTCTGGAGCGACCAGAAAATCAGACAAATGGACCAATTTCATCCCCTAAATATTAAGCGATCTTTACCAAAACAATAGGGGTCTTCATTGGCCACAACCCATTCTACATGCAAAATTTCGTGAAGATTGGTCCACAACTGCGGTCTGTATCGTGTTTACAAATTATAATGAACAGACGGACGGACACACATGTCTAGATCGACTCAGCTAGTAGAGATATAACGGTCTGGGACCAATATTTCGCGGCGTTACAAACTTTTGGGGCTGCGCAAATCTAGAATACCCTGACAACATAGTTGTGTAGGGTATAATGAAAACATTAACGTATATATACTGACCACCATTATTATGACACATGACAAGAGGAACAACAACTCAACTTTACCTGTTCAATGTTTTTTTTTTTTTTTTTTTAATGAAAATAACGAACACACATTACGGAAAGTAACCACAAATACATGATTCCGATCAATGGATATATAAAACAACGTAGCATGTTGATGCATGTGTTATTTCCAGAAAACAAAAAGGGAAAACACGCACACTTCAGCAACTAACACAATAATGATAAAAATATGAAAAAATTAAGTCATTACATGTAATGGATTTGAGAGACGTGTATGTGCAATAATTATCCGTATTAAAACAGAGGAACCTTTCATAGGTCAGCGATAATTAGACAATTTATACAGATCATGAATGTATAATATTTCATAGATAGCAGGTCAACCTATATGTTTTATTCACCTTAAAATGAGGCAGGTCCTTCCTTAATTCATTCAAACACATGGATCTACATCGTAAACCTTCTGTAACCTGCAGGTTTAATGAAATCTAAACCTGCAGGAACCCAAAATGCCAAATTACACCACTTTGTTGTAGAAATTTGACTAAATCTTTCAAAATGCAGAAAATAGTGTCCCTCATCCCAACGTCAACGTAAAAATATGAAGTCATCTCGAAATGGTACGGCAAACTTATTCTCACCCTCCCAGAAACCCAAAATATCGAATTACATAAACATCGTTGGGGGAAATTTAGCTAAAACTTTCAAAATACCGAAATTCGATCGAATCCTTCAAATGGAGCCTATGTCACAACATCGGTCTATATATACACACTTCTCTGCATAGATGTACCTCAAATGACAGTCTATTTGGGTTTAAAAATGCGACCTTCAAAATACCGAAAATGGGTCTGAACCTCGATATTGTTATATGCTACAGTAATTATTTTTCCCATAATGCCAAATTACATCCACATCGGTGGGCAAAATTCGGCTAAAACTTTCAAATTATCGATAATGGTGCAAGGGCCTTTATATGTGGGTAACGTCAATTAAAGTCATCCCGAAATGCTTTGGCAAAATGTTTCTCACCCTCCCAGAAAGCCGAAATGCCAAATTTCAGCTAATTTGGTGTTTAAATTCGGCTACAACTTTCAAAATACCTATATAGACAATTTACTTCAAAAATCTGGTATACTAAAATACCGAAAATGGTTCGGTACCTGATATGGTTACATAGTTCGGCAATTGTTTCTCCCAAAATACGAGATTACATTCAATATTGTGAGGAAATTCGGCTAAAACATTCCAAATACCGAAAATGGAGCGATACCTTTAAATGGGACCTATGTCAAAACATGGAACTATATAGACATTTTTCTATCTATTTAGAAACATCCCGGTATATCAAATGACAGCCTATTTGGGATTAAAAATGCGACCCTTTTTAAAATACCAAAAATAGGGCGGTGTGTGGTATACCAATACCAACCATCGTTTCAAAAGAAAAACAAATGGAAATGTCCGTCTCAACATAAAATTTTAATCCGATTCAGTTTGTATATAAAAAATAAAATTTCTCGCAAACAACAAATTTATACCCAGTGATAGTCTACATCATGACAATCCTACGGGTCCTCTATTAAAAATACTTATTGGTCTTATGTTAAGAAGATCTACTGGCCTTCTATGAAGACGAGCTTCTCGTTTACTATGAAGAAAAACTCCTGGCCTTTTACAAAAAATACCTCCTGAAGAAGAAATTCTGATCTTTTATTACGAAGATCATCTGGTACTCTATGAA